TGGCACTGGCACACGGACACACAGGGTGCAGACAGACAGGTGGACGGACGCCCAGTACGGACTCGGTCGCCAGCAGCTTGGCCGTCAGCCAGTTCCTCCTGACAGCCACCATCATCCAGCGCTGGCAGAAGAGGTAGGCACAGGCCACGAGCCCACACACCACCCTGCAGGGAGAGGGTGGGCAGGGGTGCAGGCAGGGCACAGGCAGGGCACGGGCAGCCCCCCAAACTGCCCCCTCCATACCCCAAAATCACAAAGAAGAAGGTCTCCAGGAGGTCGAAGGGGAAATCGATCTTGAGGTCGACCTTAAAAACAGCCACGATGGTTTCTGGGAGGGGGGAAAGGAACGAGTGGGTGGGTTTGAGGGTGGGCACCCCACAAACGCTATTGGAGGGGGGGTTAGGGGGGATGGGGGCCCATCCTGCCCGCCCTGCCTTGCCTTGCTCGCTGTTGAGGACGGCGAGGAGGCGGAACATGAAGGCGCCGCAGGTGGCGGCGAAGAAGCCGCGCCAGTAATCGCGCACGGCAAAGTGGGGGGACATCACCTCGATGCTGAAAAGAACCCCTGGGACAACAGAGAGGGGGGTCAGGGGGAGATGTTGGGGTCCCCGGAGCGGGGCTGGGGGGGATCCTCACCGCTGACAGGCGCCCCGAAGACCGTGGCCACCCCGACGGCTTGTGCTGCCACCAGCATCTCGCGCTGCTTGAACTTGTTCTGCGGGGTCAGGAGAGGGGGTTTAGGCACGACCCCGATTTTTTGGGGTGGTAAAATAAATGCCCCCCCCCCTCCAGTTTTTTTTGGGGGTGGCACCCCCACCTCATACTCCCTCGTGACTGAGGTCCTCATCTTCCCCAGATAGGCCGCAGCCATGGCGGAGAGGTGGACGTAGGGCCCCTGGTGCCAAGGGGGGGACGCGGCGCTGAGCGTCCCCCCAGCACGGCACCAACCACAACCACCGGCGGTTTTAGGGGTCTGGGGGGTATCCCTCACCACTTTCCCGAGGAAAACAGTGCTGCCACACAGCAGGGTGCAGGTCAGCCCCACCACCTTGGCCCCAAAGTTCTGGATGGCCAGGTAGTCCTCCAGCACCACGCCCATCAGGATGGTCTTCAGCTCCGGGATGCCGGAGCCTGGAGTGGGGAGAGGGCAGCACCCAAATCTGAGGGGTCCTCCCTGTTACCAAGGGGGAGTTCTGGGGAGCTGGGAAGGTCGGGGTGCAGCTGGCTCACCTGAGGAGCATGGGGTGATGCTCTGGGAGAAGCCAGTGGAGAAGGTGGCCATAGCCGTGGCGTACAGGGTCCACGAGAGGTACTTGAGCACCCCGATGTCCCCGACCTCTTGGTAGAGCCAGCGGTGGGCTGGAGAAGAAGTGCTGGCAGGGAAAACACCCCCTCCACCCCAAAGACTCCCCCCATATCCTCAGGGAACCCCCAAACCCCAGGTGAGGCCCCTCAGGGAGCTCCTCATTCACCTGCATAGACCCTGGAGACGAGGTGGTCCATCATGAAGCTGATGGTGGCCATGAGGACCCCCAGGATGAAGAGGAAGTACCAATCCTCCCCGACGCGGAAAAGCTGCCGTTTCACCCACTCCAAGCACACTGTGGGAGGGGAAAACGAGGCGCTGACCCCCCCAAAAACACCCCTCCCCAAAAAAAAATCTCCCTTTTTTGGGTGGGGGTCTCACCTCGGAGCCTTCTCCGGGCGGTGGGGCAGGGTCTCCACGTGTGCTTCGACACCAGCACCCTCTCCTCCTCCTCCTCGTCCCTCTCCCCCCGGGGCCCCCCAGGGACGGGGTGCTCCATCCCGGGGACCTTCTTGGGGACAGCACCCCCTTTCTTTTGAGCACCCCCTCACCCGTCCTCCCGCCTCGGCCTCGGCTCTTGGACTGAGGTTGTAAACGAGCTCATTAAAAACGACCTTGACGGAGCCGACGGACCCGCTGGGGCTGGAGCGAGCCGGGTTTTCCCCTCCCTCCACCACCCCCGGGCTCCCAATCCCCGCGTACATCCCGCGGCGGGGAGGATTTAATAAGTGTTTTAATGAATTATCCCGATTATTCCTTCATAATAGGCACCGCATTCCACGGCGCTGAGGTGGGGGGGACGGAGGGGGGTAAAATTTCCACCGTCTCCGGCGCAAGACCTAAATTTAGCCGGTTTTACGAGAGGTCTGGCAGGCGGCCGGGAGCCTTAACGAGGCTTTAAAAAGCTCGTCAAGTCGAAATATCCCGAAATAACCGATCCGGCGTCGCCTTCGCCGGGAGGAGGACGAGGAAGAGGCTCCTGCTTTTCCTCCCCCGCGGGAGTTGGGGGTCGCAGGTTGGGGGGGGAGGCGGCGGATGACGGTGAAATGGAGCTTTTCGGGAGCTTTGTCCGGCCCCACGGTGAGCCCTTGGGGTTCCCAGGTGAGTTTGGAGGCGTTTGGGGGTGAGGTGGGGGGGGATCCTCAGCAAGCCATGGCTGTGACCCCCCCAAAACCTGTGCAGCAGCTCGTTCCGGGAGCGCGGGCGCGGTGAAGACTTTGGGGAACACTTACCAGTTCACGGTGGACGTCAGCGACTTCGCCCCCGAGGACATCGTCGTCACCACCTCCAACAACCAGATCGAGGTGCACGCCGAGAAGGTGGGTGCTCTCTCCCTGCCCTGCTCACCCCCGAGCCGGGGGGACCCCAAAATCCTCGACTGGTGGACACGGGGACCTCACCTCAGCTCCCACCCAACAGCCGTTTCATTCACCACTAATTAATGGTGACGGCAGGGAATAACGAACCCCCAATCCCGCTTGCACCCCAAAACCACCCCTTTCTCGCCGTTTCCCCCCAGCTGGCTGCGGATGGCACCGTCATGAACACCTTCACCCACAAATGCCAGCTGCCCGAGGACGTGGACCCTACATCGGTGTCGTCCTCGCTGGGGGACAACGGCACGCTGACCATCCGTGCCCAGCGCCGGCCGGCCAAGCACTCCGAGCACGTCCAGCAAACCTTCCGGACTGAGATCAAGATCTGAGGGGGCCGGGGGGCTCTTTCCTCCCCCCTCTCCCCTCCCTCGTTAATGATTTGGGCTCTTTGGGAAGGAGGTGGGATGTGGGGTAGGGAATGGGAGCGCTCCCTCTGCCGTGGGGTCAGACCTGTCCCGAGCTGCATCCCGGCACCCACCGGAGAAACTCCGGAGGGGAGTCCCAGCTGCAGCAGTTTTTAGCTGGCGCGTGTTGAGGGGGAAGATCCAGCGTGCCAAGAGTCCCCCCGGGAGCCAAATTCCCTTCCCGACCTTCCTCCGGAGCTTGTCTTTGTATATACAGCTTGGGATAAATTATTTGAGAATGTCTGCCTGCTGCCTGCTCCGTTTTGTCACGTTTTCTCGATGTTTTACCCCCACCCCGGGGTGTGGGTTCAGCCCTGAGGGGCGTCTCGGGAAAGGGGTATTCCACCATCCCGACAAAATCCCGCACCAGGAGCGGCTCCGGCGCCCGCTGCCCTGTTTATTTCCAGCCCGGGGTGACTCATTTCTTCCCCACCGCTCTATTTCTGAGCCATTCCCTCAGCTGTTCGGCTGCCGACCCACCTGGAAGGGCACCAAACTCTCCTTCTCCCCTCGCCCACCCTCGCCCACCCCTCTTGGGATGCCCCCCACGAGCCGGGATGGTGGTCCCGCTGTAGCCGTCAAACCCGAGGGTTTCTTTCTGGGGGCCCGAAATGTCCCCCCACGGGCCTGGCTCCATCTCCCTGTGTGTACAATCAACACCGAGGCGCCAGTTCGGGCCGAGGGACTGTTTATAGAAAGCACAGAGCGCCCGGCTCGTGTTGCCGCTCCCGCTCCAAGGGCAGCTCGTTCCCTTCATCCCAGAACGACTCGTGACTCCCATGAAACACCTG